CTGCCTGGGCCCCCAGGCTCTGGGCTGAGCCTTGACCTTCGGGAGTGACCAGCTCCTCAAGACTGTGGTGAAGGGCCCAAACCCACCTCCTCCAGCCGTGTGCGCTTCTCAGAGGGCTCTGACCCCTCATCACTTTCATTTCCCGAATGTTCTTCATCCTCTTCTTCATCCCGGAAGATGTCTTCATAAGCGGGAACTTCAAGGTCATCATCTTGTTTAATGAGCAGTTTGATCTACAATTAAGACAGAAAGCCATCAACCTCCCCTCTCCTTGATGGAAAACTATCCATCACATGTTTTCTCTCCCAGAATCTTATCTCCTGAACCTGCACCCAACTCAGTGCACAGAAGGACGGAGCCTGCAGACGGAACAACTATGCAGTCACTTAGGTCTGGATAAAACGCTCCCTCTTAGGCCCACACTTAGCCAACAAAACTAACACCTTGCACCTCAGCCTCTGACCAAGGGCACAGAGACCCGTGACCTCACAGTGAGCAAAACTCCTGTCCCTAAAAGAGGTCCTTGGTGAGAGGGTTTCAGGGCTGAGGCTACTGGGGGTGCATGCCCACAGGCGGCTCAGAGAGCTCATGTGAGATGGCACGTGGCCCCACATGACCATCCCGGACCTCACACCACCCAGGTAGCCAGGGAGCGTCCTGCACTGCCCCATTTAGACAGCAGGTGCCTCTGAGGTCCCCTGACAGTCAATAAAGCCAGCTGGCCTAAGATCAAAGTGCAGACTTGGAGCAGGTTCCAGACCCTGTGCCTCCTGGGTCAAGCGAATTCCACACATGCCTTCTGAGCACCTCCGAAGGGAGGTGACGTGTTTCTCATCAAAGATGGACAAGACCAGGCCCTGTTCTCTGGCTGCTCCAGCTCCTATAGGCAAGGTGGACACATGCCTTGCCAAGAACACCAGGCCTGACGCTGCGGCATAAAAACAGACAGATGGGAGAGCTCGGGGAGTCTGGCCTACCTGGGTATCGTTGTACACGTTCACGACATTGACTGGTCTGTGAGTGTCACACACGAAAAACACGGCCTCTTCATCGGGTTGAAGGATATCCAACAGATCCACATTGGCGCCACAGTTTATGAGGACAAAATAGCGGAACTGGACAAAGGAGAGGGACGCAGTGAGTTAGTGCACAGGGGAGGCCATCTGCTTTCAGCACCAGGCCTGAGGCCTGCAGGGGCTCGTCCAGCCCGATGCAGGGCAAGGCCCTGCTAGCGAGGGGCTCCAGACGCGGCCACAGCTGGTCTGTGCAGAGGGCCTTAACAACCCCACGCACAAGTTCATTTTCAGGATGACACTGTGAGGCAGGTGCCATGACTGTCCTGCCAATGAGGAGTAGGCAAAGGCCGAATCTCTTCTGGCCTCAGGCGTGTCCACATCAGATGGGGACAGACCTAGAGCTCAAATGCATAGTGGGGTCTCTCCCGACCTGTCACTCACTCTTCTGTGACAGACTCCTCTCTGTGCTAGCAGCACTGCACCAGGTCAGATTTCAGCAAGTCTGAGGTAGCTCGCATTTAACAAGCACCTGAATATTAAGTGGGGCTTCCCTGGTGGCTAAGAGTCTGCCTGAAAATGCAGGAGACCCAGGCTCAATCCCTGAGTCAGGAAGATCCCCTGGAGAGGGAAATGGCAACCCACTCCAGTATTCTTGCCTAGAAATCCCATGGAATGAGGAGCCCGGCGGGCTACAGTCCATGGGGTTGCAAAGAGTTGGACACGCTGAGCAACTGACACTAGACATTAAGTAAAGTTTTTTGTTACATCCTATCGCTACAGAAAACTCTTTCCTTATAAATACTGATCTGGCATAGGTCCCTCTCATGATGACAGGAGCACCAGGTGAGGACTTGTCTCTGCCAGACAGTCCTTGTTGAGGCCAGAAACTCTGGGACCCTCTTTCAGACAGCAGCCCCTCCCCGGGGGACGGTGGGGTCTCAGACATCCTGTCTCTCATCATAGCTCCATGCAGAGCTGAGAAAATACCTGGTCTCTACTGCCTAAATTCTAAAGGGAGAAAGTATGTTCCTGAACTTCCAGTTGGAAACTGGGATATACTTCTTGGAAAAATAAATGTGAAATAATGGTCCAAAGTAAAGTAATTATAACCAAGCTGTATCAGAAACAACCTTCCAAATTCCAAGCACCTGAAAGTGAAATGTGTCTAAACACAGGTACAAAGCTAGAGATTGTCCATATTCACTATCTTGCTTTTGTTGTCAATTTTGTCTCTGCGATTGGAGGGTAAGTCACCCACACATAGAGCTCACTTTTCTCTTCTGTGTAGCCTAAGAAAGTCGACAGTTAGAAATACACACAAGCCATTGTAGAAATATCGAGTTCTTTACCACCAGCACCACTTGGGAAGCCCCATCGTAGAAACAGAAAGAATGCTGTGTTAAGAAATTGCAAATGAGAGATAAAGCCCAATATTCTCAAATGCATCTCTCATACCTGTTCTTTATGCTCTAGAAATGCAGTTTCAAGTTCTTGCCACCCAGAAACTGGAACCAGTGTATACTGCACGTGGTCACACTGGAACAGGGCCTGGACAGAGAGTATATTCAAAACCTATTATATTTAGGTCTGCAATCCATCTTGAAATGCACATTAAAAGAAAAAAAAAAAAGATGGACTGAGAGACAACAGATGCTAACGTAAGGTTAGTGAAATGTTAACATCAATAAGGAAGTAATGGGAACATGAATGTTCACTGAACCATACTTCAGCTTTCCTGAACATCACCAAAGGAAAACACTGCTGAAAAACTTGGTATTTCTAGGTTTTTGGTGAGTAGTTCCTGACCCAAGGGCCTGACCCAAGCTCACATAAACCTTGCTTGTGTGGCTGCATGCTCAGTTAGTCCTGACTCTTTGAAGCCCCATGGACTGGAGCCTCCTAGGCTCCATGAGGTTCTCCAGGCAAGAATACTGGAGTGGGTTGCCATTTCCTGCTCCAGGGAATTTTCCTGACCCAGGAATTAAACCCACATTTCCAGCATTGCAGGTGGATTCTTTACTGCTGAGTTATCAGGGAAGCCCTGAACCATATTTAAAATCAAACAACAACGATCTTTCCTTAGCACCGAAGAATTGATGCCTTCAAACTCTGGTGCTGGAGAAGGCTCTTGAGAGTCCCTTGGACAGCAAGGAGATCAAACCAATCAATCCTAAAGGAAATCAACCCTGAATATTCACTGGAAGGACTGATGCTGAAGTGCCAATACTTTGACCACCTGATGAGAAGAGCTGACTCATTGGGAAAGACCTTGATGCTGGGCAAGATCTAAGGCAGGAGAAGGGGATAACAGGATCAGATGGTTGTATGGCATCACTGACTCACTGGACATGACTTTGAGTAAACGCTGTAAGATGGTAAAGGACAGGGAAGCCTGGTGTGCTTCAGTCCATGGGGTCACAAAGAGTCGGACACGACTGAGCAACGGAACAACGCTCTTTCCTATTAGGTTAAGGAGTCAGTATCTCCAGAATCCCTGATGACACCCCAGTGCCCTCCACTGTCAGATTCCTCTGCCTCGAACCCCAACGGCGAGAAGGCGCCACAGGTCTACCGATCTCTCCAACGCAGCCGTCCTGTGCCCACCTTGTGGCCTTTTGCCGGCTTCTCCTCTAACCCACCTAATGCAGTCCCTCCCAGGACGCAACCTGGCGGGAGTCCTCGCCCCAGGCCGAGCTCCCGCCCCGCTCCTCCCCTCGCGCCTGCCCCCGGTCCCCCGCCGGCCCGGCCAGCGGGCCTCACCTGAAGGATCTTGCAAGCGCACAGAGCGTCCACGTCCGAGGCCACGAAGAGAAGGACCCTCTGTCGGGGGGAGAGTTGGCTGAGAGCGGCCCCGCGAACCCCGGCCCCTCCTGCCCCCACGGTTGCGCGCCCTCGTCCCTTCCCCAGTCTCGGAGCCCAGGAAGGGCTCACCTGGCTCTGGACCACCTCGTAGAACTCCTTGCGGAAGTCGGACACGAACATGACCGCGGCGCCTGGACACCCCGGGATGGGACTCTGCGAGCCTGGCGGCGGTCAAGACTCCCGCCAAGTCCTGGCTCTCCCGATTACCCCGGGGGCCAGCCAATCGCGACTCGGGTCCCCGCCTCTCCACTTTTCTGATTGGCCCGCGCTGGGAGCGACACTTAAGCGCCGCCATTCACAGCAGGACTACTCCGGCCCGCCCCTAGAGGAGCGTCCTCCACCGGCTGCAGGCACTGCGGGTGGCGCAAGTCCTATGCGACTCCGTTTCTTCAGACACTCTACGCTCCGTACAGTTTACTTTGAGGGGAAAAAAAAATGCCCACTCCCCCCCCCCCGCAACTGGGATCTCCAGGTGAAAGAAACCTCGCCACAAATTAAATTCATGTACACTTCAGGAATTCTCTGGAGAAGGAAATGGCAACCCACTCGAGTACTCTTGCCTGGGAAATTCCATGGACGGAGGAGCCTGGGGGGCTACAGTCCTTGGGGTGGCAAAGAGTCGGACACGACTAAGCGACTTCACTTTCACTACACTTCACTCCAGGAATTCTCAAGTGCCTCAGTGATAAAGAACCCGCCTGCCAAGCAGGAGATGCAGGTTCGAGCCCTAGGTCGGGAAGCACCCCTGGAGAGGGAAATGGCAGCCCACTCCAGTATCCTTGCCTGGAGAATCCCATGGACCGAGGAGCCTGGCGGGCTGCAGCCCACGTGGGTCGCAACTCGGTCAGACACGTCCGACTGACTGAACAACAGCACGTCAGAAGAGGGCGTCAGTTTAGGATGTCAAGGGGCTCGGCCTAGTTCCAGAGCGGAAGTGTGGCCTACTTCCGCCCGCGTCCTCGGCGGCCTCAGTAGAGGCTGGGAGTTCCGCCTGCATGCTGGGTAGTGTAGGCAGTAAGAGGAGTGGGCCCCAGCCCCCCAATTAGTCACGAAAGGACACTGTCAAACTAATTTGAGATAATCGTGGAAGGTGCTCTAGGGTGAATACGTTAGATAGGTGTATCTGAACGCTCGCGCCGAAGGGGGTTTTTGATCCTCGAGCTTCAGCCGCTCTTGCTTTCACAGCGTTCCGACGCTCGCGCCTCTCCCGGAAGTGCTTTTCCGTCAGTTCCGGTGAGTCCCAGGCTTCCGGGGCAAAGCGGCTGAGGCGGCTGTGGTGGCCGCTGTGAGGGGGCGTCGGCGGCTCCCACCGGCAACGTTTTCCGTCAGAGAGCCCTTGCGAGGCGAGGCGGAGGCGTCCACTATGGTGAGTGGCCGGGCGGGCAGGGCCGGCCAGAGCGGGCGGACGTGGAGGCCGCAGAGGTGCCGAGTCACCCGGCCTGAGTCCGCCGGCGTCTGGGACTGAGGCGCAGTCCCGCGGGTGTAGACCTGTGTCGGCTTCCAGCGGACAAGCGCTGGATCGATTTGGGGTCTGTCGGAGTGAGAGGAGAGCGCTCGAGCCTGCCGCCCCAGCGCCCGGGACAGCGCGGCTCCGAGACCCCTCGCCCATTGTGCCCGGAGCGGGCGTCGTGGTCGTAGCGTCGGCTCCGGAGCGCAGGGTTTAGGGAGGCACGCTGTGTCGGCCACAGACGCTAGGCCTTCAGTACTGGAAGCTGGTCGGCCTGCCGAGCTGTGTGAGCACCGTGCCGTCCGTTTTACCGCCTCCGAGTGTGTCAGTGTTGGGATCCCTCCTCCCAACCCAGGAACACTGCCGGGCGCTGCGCAGTGTGCCTGTCGTGGAGGGCAGCGGGGCGGGGACAGGTTGGTGTCCATGCTCAGGGCTGGGTGTCCATTCCCTGTTTCGTGCTGGGAAGAGAACGCAGGGCTTCGATGGAGAGGGTGGTGAGGTGTGAGGAGGCCCCCAGTCCACTCCCTCCGTTCATCCCAAACGCTGTGTGTTTGCTAGGCTTCTGGCTCAGATTTTGTCCAGTGGAGAGTCTTGCCTAGAAAAAGGAGAGACACGGTTTGGAAAACTCCCTTGCGGCGCTGCAGGGAGTGGAGAACTGTCAGTTTTAAGCAGGAGTTGCGTTTGCTGTCTGTGGAAGACAGCTAGCCCAGCTTGCTCAATCTGGAATTGCTAATAAACTATGTTATCAGTACCAGACTTTGCTTTTTAACAGTGTGTGCTTAGAAGACATACCAAGACATGCAGTCTTGTTAAGGTTTTTATTTAACTTGTAAAAAACCACATGTCATAAATTTAGCACTTTAGCCATCTTTAAGTGTACAACTTGTTGGTGTAAAGTATATTCATGTTGTGTAGTGGATGTCCAGAACTTTTTGGTCTTGAAAAGTTGAAAGTCTGTTCCTGTGAAACACTTGCCTCTCCTGCCAACCCCTGGCAATCACCTTTCTTCTTTTGTCTGAACTTGATTGCCTTAAGTATCTCCTATAAGGGGAAATCCTACAGTGTTTGTCCTTCCCCACCTGGCTTATTTGACTGAGCACAATGTCCTCTGAGTTCATTATCATTGTCACACATGTTGGAATTTCCTCCCTTTTGGGGGCTAAACAATGTTCCATTGTGTGAATGGATCATGTTTGCTTTATTCATTGGTCTGTTGGTGGGTACTGGGATAGCTTCCAGCCCTTGGCTATTGTGAAGAGCGCTACTGTGAATATGAATGTACATCTGTATTTTCAGACCCTAGTTCCAATTCCTTTGAGTAGATATGCTGTTGTGCAGTTTCATATTCTTCCTCTCTGGCACCTCACAGTAGTCGCAGTACTCTGAGAACACCCTGGGTTGCTGGGCAGCATGTGTTCTGAACCTCCCTGTAACCCGCACTTTGAGAGCTGGAATCTTATGTTTGTGGTGGCACTGTGTCTAGCCTCCACTTGTGTATGGGAGGGAGGGGTGTGGTGTGATGGAGCGCCCCGTGATAGGGGTGTGAGCCCTGGGCCTGGGTGGAGCAGAGGAGGTCCAGAGAAGGGTTAGGGTGGTTCTGGAATCCAGGGGAGGGGGGAGGGCTCCTGGCTTCTGGTCTTTGCAGAGAGAGCTTTCCTATCATCCTCTTAAAACAGTGTTCCCGGAGCTCTCGGTTCCTTTCCCTCTCTTGTGCTGAGAGCACTGCTGCCCAGACGGTTTCCTGCGCTCGTCTCCCTTGTGAACATCAGCTCTTCCGGGGCAGAGGTTGGAGCTGTTTGGTTAGTGGTGTTTCCCTGGTGTTTGGAGACCAGAGCCCAGCAGATGGTGGCACTCCTAAACACGGGATGAGAGGAAAGTGGTTGGGGGCAGGGACGTGGCCATCACAGGAGATCCTGGGACCTGCTGGTGGGGGACTCGGAGGCTGAAGAAGTGAAGGACAGGCTTACTGGGGGCACCATCTGAGAACAGCGGGGGCAAGTTGGGTGGAAGGCCAGGGCACAGCAGCTGGTGGAAGCTGCTGGGCGGTGCACCAGACTCCTGGGAGGTGGCGACTGGGTAGTCTTGCTCTGGCTGCAGACGGGTGGACCAGGCTTGTGTTCTGTTCTAACTGCAGCATCTCTTTCCTCCCTCTAGTTCTCCTTCAACATGTTTGACCACCCGATTCCCCGGGTCTTCCAGAACCGCTTCTCCACACAGTACCGCTGCTTCTCCGTGTCCATGCTTGCGGGGCCTAATGACAGGTCAGATGTGGAGAAAGGAGGGAAGAGTATGTGCTGTTTTATTTTGAATCGTAACCCTTCCCGCCCCAGCCTGCAGGGCCCTAGTCCTCAGCAGCCCTCATCTGCATGTGAACAGGAACTGGTCACTGTCATGGTGTCACGGCCCCGGACGGCTAAGAGGTGGGGTGAGGGTCCTGTTGTGATCACATTCACGGCTGAGGGCCGTGTGGTTCTGTCAGATAACTTCCAGCCGGCCAGCTTTGTTGTGACAGGGCAATATGAAATTCTGCCTGCCCCACTAGTCTCCTAGAGTACTTCGTGTAGACATAACAGAAAGTGTACTCTGGGTTTTGTTCTGTTCTGTTAGTTTTCCTTCTCTTAACATGTCTTAAACATTCTTTCCACAGTAATTATGCCGCCCTCAGCCCTCGACCAACTCAGTAAGTACTTCCTACCTGACTTGAGAACAGAGGTGATGTGAATGTGGGCACTGGGACCACAGGCAAGCCCCTTAGCACCCGGGTAGAGGCACCCTTCGGCAAGGCTGGTTGGGAATCATCCCTTGAGGGTGCTCGCTGGGCTGGGAGGCTGGGGCCTGTGGGTGCTCCTCTGACAGCCCCCCCCACCCACCAGGTCCCATCGAAACTAAAGGCGGGTGTGAGCGCCAGGGCCGTTCATGCTGCTGGGGTAGCTGATGCCCTTGGCTGGAGGCACAGGGTTTTCCCCTCAAGGACGGTGGTGGCCCCGCGAGGAAGCTGCAAGCAGGCCTCTCGTCTCCCCGCGCCTCTTGTCTCAGTTCCAGCCACAGTTCTGAGCCCTCCACCCCAGGAGCTGCTCCCCACCCCCGCCTGCCTCTTAGCAGGAACAAGAAAGGCCACACTGTTCTCCCTCCCTCGACCCCTCCTCCAGCGAGCGTCACTCAGAGACCTTACAGCCCAGCCCCACTCTGGACCTGGGGAGACCCCGACCACAGACACTGAGCCCCTTCGGGCGGTGCCCTCACTCTGCCGAGCGCGCACTGGGCAGGTCAGCGACTTGGGCTTTGCACCTGGCCCGACCCGACTCCAGACTAGCGGCTCTCTGGATTGGTGTCCTCACCTTTGAACAGGACACACGGAGCCGTCTGTGGCACTGCTCAGGGGCAGTAGTGCTTTCTGGATGGTGCCTGTGGTGTGTAAACAGCCAGGGCCCCATGGCACCGGGCAGGGGCAGGGGCAGGGGCTGGCCCTTAGGCAGCACTAGCTGCAGCCGTTGTACCCGCGGAGGGAGGCCTGGAGTTCTGCTCAGCTCAGCCAGGTTGGGGGGTGAGTAGACCCGGGGCATGGCCCTTAGGCCCAGTTATCACAGGAGGAGCCAGCCTGGAGTCTGTCTCGTGCATGGAGCTGACCCGGGACTGAGACCAGGCTTGTTGCAAACAGACGAGAGGAGGCTCGGGTCGATGGGACAGAGGCTGGATAGACCTCGTCAGTCATAGAGGAACTGTCCAGTGAAATCCCTGGGTAGAGGAGGTGAGGGGGCGCAGCAAGCTCGGGCGCCCCGAGGTGCTCCTCAAAATCACAATATGTAGTTTGAAAATTATTGGACTGAAAAACACGGTCTCTTCCAATGGTGAGAATCTCAGACCCGAGGTTGGATTCCTGATGAGTCCGTTCACGCTGACCCACCTCAGCCCGCTGCACAGCTCTGCAGCCCGGGGCACGCTGGTGACAAGGGCCCGGTGCCTGAGGCACCTTGTTCCTGCTGCCAGCCCTTCTGCTTCCCAGTCCCTGGGCGCCCAGCCTCGCACCCCCCAGCAGCCTCCCTGGCATGAGCGTCTGGGCACTCTCGGAGATGTGCTTTTGGGCCCTCTGACTTTTCCCAGCACCTGGTTGATATGCAAACTGTGAATAAGTGTGCAAACGTGTCACTTTCTAGAGCTGGGATTTCAGACAAGCACGAGTATAAGTGGTGCTGCGTTCCTGTCTCAGCAAATGTCCTGAGGTCTAGCTGGAGTGCGGGGTCTGCTGAGTGGGCAGACATGCAGGGCTCAGCCCCACGAGGGTCCTAGCACCTGCCGGGGGTGGGGGCTTCCCCAGGGAGGGTCTAGGGACAGGGTTTCTCTTCCTGGAAGAAGCTGAGCCTCATCCCTTGCTCTTTTCAGGCCGACTCAACATCACCTACCCCATGCTGTTCAAACTGACCAACAAGAACTCAGACCGAGTGACACACTGCGGGGTGCTGGAGTTCGTGGCTGATGAGGGCATCTGCTACCTCCCGCACTGGGTGAGCAGCCGGCCTGTGCAGCCCTGCCCAGGTGGCCGTCACGCGCGGCCGTGGATCTGCTACCTCCCGCACTGGGTGGGCAGCCGGCCTGTGCAGCCCTGCCCAGGCGGCCGTCACGCGCGGCCGTGGATCTGCTACCTCCCACACTGGGTGGGCAGCCGGCCTGTGCAGCCCTGCCCAGCGCGGCCGTCACGCACAGCCGTGGGCGCTGTGCGCCAGGGCCCCGTGTGGGAGCCACGGCCATGCCGTTAAACTGCCATTTCCTTGGTTAGGCTTTTTTTAAGTGATGGAGCAGGAGTATTTTTCAAATGATCTGAATACAGAGTTTTAGATTTTTATCTATTTTCTTCTCCCTACTGTGTGTCTGTGTGTGTGTGTGTGTGTGTGTGTGTGTGTGCGCGCCTGTACCTGAGTCTCCAGAGCACTCAGCCCTGTTGCCATGGGGTGAAGCCTCTCTGCACTCAGGCTGGCCCAGTGCGTCCCCAGGCCGGCAGAGCCACACCAGCACTGCAGGGCAGGCCCATGGCAGCCAGGAGTGCTGGTGGTGGTGGGGGCTGGGCTGCAGCACCCCTAGTGTGAGGGCCCCATGGCTGCCCCCTCTGTCCCTTGACCTTCAGCATTGTCTTCTGTGACTGCCAGCTGCTCTCAGTGTTGTAGGTACTTTGAAGATACCCAAGGACCCTTGTATTTACAAGGTCTTATGTGGAAATGCAGTGTCCTGGACAGTGTAGAAAGGGTGGCCTGGGGCCTTGGGGTTTGGGTGAAGTGGGGGGCGGTCCCTGTGGGAAGGCTCTAGCCTGGGGAGGCCTGGAGCTGGCAGCTGGGGCCTCGCCTGTCGACCTTCCAGCAATTGGCTGCCCCAGGTGTTCCCGCTGTGTCCCCCCCACCCCGGCTGCACCCCTACCCTGTCCCATCTGCTCCCCTCCAGATGATGCAGAACCTGCTGCTGGAGGAGGGTGGCCTGGTTCAGGTGGAGAGCGTCAACCTGCAGGTGGCCACGTACTCCAAGTTCCAGCCGCAGAGCCCCGACTTCCTGGACATCACCAACCCCAAGGCTGTGTATCCTTCTGAAGATGGACAGGTTCTTTGCGGGCGGAGCTGTGCAGGCGGCGGGTGACAGCCGGTCTCTGTGGGGTGTGCCTGCTGCGGGGCAGCACAGCAGTCGTGATCAGCACTGACGTGAGAGCACTGGTGTTGGGCCGGTGCGTCCACATGGCTTGGGAGCCTGGATGAGCGTGCTGGGAGCTCTGCGGACCCCGCCCGAGGGCAGCTGTGCCTTCCTCCAGGGACCCTGGCATAAAGCCCAGTGGCGCATCTGGAGCTGTGCGTTGCGTTTGACCTTGTCTTTAGTACAGATCAGTAGATTGCTAAGGATGGAGCATGCTGTGTATTTGGGCATTATTCTCTTGTCTGGGCACTCGAGGTGACTCAGTTTCAAGAAGTATTTAGTAATTTTTTTTTTCTTTTTTAGTATTTTTTAAAGAAAGGACTTACAGGCCAATTTTTCTTTAAAAATTGTTGTTATTAAGTGTTTTTAGTCTAAAACATATGGCAAAATACACGTTACCGCCCAAAAGGTAGAAACAGCAGAAGTATAAATGAAAACATTTTCACTCCCAAGGGAACTTTACCTGTGTTTCATTCAATCTTTTTTCCCATAGGATTTTTTAAATTCTCTCGTTGAAATGTAATTTACATGCAGTGGAGTGCACACTTCAGCAAGCTTGGCTAATGTGTCTCCCCAGAAGGGTGGTTATGCCACCTTCTTCCTGTCTTCAGCTGACCCCTGGCCCCAGAAGCCTAACTGCCTCCCACTTCAGAGATCTGCCTTTCTCAGGGTTTGGGGGTCTCACTGCTCCATGGCTGGTTCTTTCCCTCAGTGGAGAGTGAGGGTCACCCCGTTACCACATGTTAGAGGTGCTTCCTTAATGTTACTGAATCATTGCCCCAACTAGACACATGACTGTTCAGTACACAGGGTGACCTGATGCTGTGAACCCCTTGTGGGCACTTGTTTCAGACATGAGGACTCCATCTTGCTCTGTTGACCTTGACCGTGTGTGTCTACAGATTAGAAAATGCATTGAGAAACTTCGCCTGTCTGACCACTGGGGATGTGATTGCCATCAACTACAACGAGAAGGTGAATGTCTCAGCCCCATGTGTGCCAGGGCCTTGAGGCCGTGAGCAGGAGCCCCTGTTTCTCACATTGTGGGAGCAGACACCAGTTACACACACACACACCCCCACACACAGACACTCTTCAGGGTCGGACACCACTTGCTCTCTGACAGTTTCCCTCTGTGAGACATGAAGTCCTAAGAGTTGTTACTGTTCATCTTTACGGATTTTGAGTTACACTTTTGTATTTTCTCATAAACTTAGAAATAGTCTTGTTCCGTTTAGCTTAGTGGGGACATTTTCGGTGTTGCCTGTCTTAAGCTTTTTAGATTATAGGCAACCTTAACATCATTGTTCGTAAAGTGTAAGGGCAGAAAAAAAATTGATGATGAAAGATATTGACTTTTTTGCATGGTAAGGGAAGGACAGTTAACTCAGGTGTGCATAGAATTGAAATGCACGTCAGGATCTCTATTTTTGGAAGTGTGGAGACTGGATCCTCTAAAGGGCCCTTCTGAGAAGACTGGACAGCCTGTGCTGAGGGCTGGTCGCCCATCCATGTGGGGTGTGAGATCTGGGTTAGGGCCTCCCTGGGAACCTGGGCCCTTGAGGGGCCTAGTGGATGCTGAGGTAGCTCCCCTTGTGCCAGGCTTTCTGGAAGCAGCACCCCAGTTTAGTGGTGCCCTCGGGACTGCTGTAGGCTGGAGAGCAGTCCTTCGGTTTCTCTCTCCAAGCCCTGGTGGCAGCCCTGTTGGTTTCATGAGTCACTATTTAGTTGTGACCTGCAGTTTGGAAACAGCTGTAGACAGGTGATCATGTGCCCTGGAGCACAGACACGAATGTTCACACAGCTTTGATCATGGCAACAGCAGTGCCAGAGGCCACCCAGCGACACAGACTCACTCCCATCCAGTCACTGGGGGGGCCTGCAGGCCAGACGAGGGGTGTTGAGCCTTCTCTCTGTGCTGGGGGCCTGCCCCTTGAGGCCAGTGTTCTCAATGGTGGAGCCGTGTCAGCTGTGCATCATGAAAGCAGGATGCTCACCAGGCAGAGAGAGAGCCTGAAACAGCGCAGGGGAGAGCCACTTTCTGCTCCTGTACCTTTGACTTGGTGCGCGTTTTCCCCACAGAAGCTCATCCCCGACACCCACAGCTGGTTTTCAGCTGCCTTTCCTCCTGGCTGCCTGGGAAGCCCTGGCACCTCTGACCTGGTGCAGGGGAATCCGCAGCGTTCACATAACCAGTCTGGTGCGGGCAGCCTGAGTGCACCCCACGATGAGCCGTGCTGGAGCCAGCGCGCTCAGCACCATCTCGCTCGCATTTAGCTTGTTATCTGCCAACAGTTACTTCTGAAAGTGAACTTTCCTGGGATGGACATTCGGTCTTCTGCAGTTTGCTGCCTAATTGCCTTGTCAGATTTGAGTCACTTACCAGTGTAGTCAGCTGAGGGACAGGCCCTGGGGGGCCGCCCGCCACCCCCCCCATCTCTCCGCAGTGGGAGGTGTGGCTGGGGAGGGTGTCATAAGGGGAGTGAGTGTGTGCAGGGCTGGGAGTGCCGACACAAGTGTGACGGGCCCAGAGCTGCCAGGAACCACCCCCTTCTCTCCCCAGATCTACGAGCTGCGCGTAATGGAGACCAAGCCGGACAGGGCCGTGTCCATCATCGAGTGCGACATGAACGTGAGCGGCTGCGGGATTGGTGGGGAGCGGGCAGCAGATGCTGCCAGAACCTCCGAGTAGGCCGCTGACCTGTAATCAGTGGCAGGGCTGCTGTCAGTCCTGAGATGGCCAGACCCACCAGCACATCAGCCCTGCCAGGGGCCTGTCTCCTTGGAGGCTGAGGCAGGGCTACTCAATTCCAAGGAGGGGACTGTTGGTCCCCACAATGGCCCTGCACGCTGGGTTTCTGGGCAGGATGCCCAGCAGAAGGGTTCCATCTGCCTGGGTCCGTTCATGTGGCGTTCTTGAAATGACAGCCTCAGGAATGGATGGCAGAGGAATGGTTGCTGGGGTGGGGCATGGGGTCCTGGGGAGGGAGGGGTCCCTGTGGTGTGGAAACTGCTCTGGATCTTAGCCGGGGTGGGCACAGACCTGCAGTGATGCTCAGAACAGAACACGTGTGTGTGTGTGAGTGAGAGGACTGGGGAGGTCTGGATAGGGCAGGGTCGTGGTGCCAAAGTCACGCTGTGACTTTTAACACGTGACTGTCGAGGAAGTGGCCCCTTCTCTGTGGCTCCCATAGCTGCTCATGGGCCCACGTTGCCCAGCTTAGAGGCTGCGTGTGGCCCCGCATCACTGTGCTTTCCTCCGGGCACAGGTGGACTTCGATGCTCCCCTGGGCTACAAGGAGCCGGAGAGGCAGGCCCAGCATGAGGAGTCAGCAGTGAGTCGCCCCCCCCACATCCCTCCAGAGCTCTGCACGCCCACCGCTGGGTTCTGCCTCTGCTGGTGCCAATGCAGCCGTGTTCTCCCCGCCCAACCCACTCCCTGGCCCCGTGTGTCCTGGCTGTTCGGTGCTGGCAGAGGGGCAGTGAGGGGCCTGGGGAGGGCTTGGGCCCCACTGAGAAGCTTGTCCCGTTTCCCTGTCCCTCCAGGAAGGCGAAGCTGAACACAGTGGCTACACCGGGGAGTTGGGCTTCCGTGTGAGTGCCGCCATGTGACTGTCTGTGACACCCCAGGGACCTCAGCCGGGCCCGGGCCGGGGGATCCTGCACACGTGCACCTGGCACCTCCTCACTCTCCAGACCCTCCTCCATCCTCTTTCTCCTGGATCCTCCCAGCAACTGTCAGGCCGCCCCGACTTCCGAAAAACTCGCCTACCAGAAAGTAGCAATAGTACAGCAGACATACATAAGCCCTTCAGTGGGTTCACCCGCCGTGACCTCTCCTGTGGTCTCTGGGCCGTGTCCTCTCCTGTGGTCTCTGGGCCGTGTCCTGCAGTATATGGTGGCCTCCCGCACTGCTGCCGCCCCTGGGAAAGCAGGGGCGCACAGGCGAGGCTCAGCCTGGGGCCAGGAAGCAGGTTACAGAGCTGAGCCATGGGCCCAGCCAAGCGCATCACTGGTCCTTGGCAGCCAGTGCCCTGGGTGGCGCGGTGGGGGGGCTCCCCTGAGCTCATGGGGCCCCGGGGGGCTGGGCGCTGTGCTCCTGAGGCGGTCCCTGCCCATGCCCTGCAGTGCTGCCCCCTGCCTCAGGCCCCTCAGCCCTGGTCTACTCATCTAGGCCTTCTCCGGCTCCGGAAACAGACTGGATGGGAAGAAGAAGGGGGTGGAGCCCAGCCCCTCCCCAGTCAGGCCCGGAGACATCAAGAGGTGGGTGTGCTGGCCCTGCCCCAGGCCCCTGCCTGCCGTGCTCTGCAAGGTTGTGGGTGCCGCCCCACTGCCAGGCCCACCCGGCCGCTTGCAGGCCTCATCAGACCTCTGTCCTGCCTACAACCTGGCCATCCCGACTCAGGACGTGTCGTCTTCATCTCGTGCTGTCAGTGACTGCCCGGCCGCCTCTCCCAGTCGATTGGTCCAGGGACTCAGGGCAGAGTCCTGGCTCTGGTGGCCCTCATCATGACAGCAGGGCTGAGCTACGTCTCCGTTAACTGTGAGACGCTGCAGACGGGCCTGCACCCGACCTCTTGGGGAATGAAGTGCGTGTAGAATGAGAGGCTGGAGGACACTGGTGTGAGCCCCAGCAGACCCTGCCACGTGCCTTCTGCTCCCCCTGGAGTCGGCAGGGAGGCGCCCTCTGGCTGGCATGAGGTGTAGTGGGTGCAGCCTCCAAGCTGAAAGAGAGAAGCTGCTTACTCTCTGCTCACAAGTGAACTCTAGTTCCTTCTCCTGACACCAATGTTTCTCCTGCTGTCTCTTTATAGAGGAATTCCCAACTACGAATTTAAACTTGGTAAGATCACGTTCATCAGAAACTCCCGTCCGCTGGTCAAAAAGGTTGAGGAGGTGAGTATTTCGTGAGTCATGACAGGTTTCCTTGGTGACTAGTGACAAGGGGATTCTTTCCCTCTCGAACGAGGGTCTCCTTCCGTGTGTTCTCCATCCCGGCCCTCCTCCCTGTGGGCTGGCCATCCTGCTGAAGCCGTGTGGACTCTGCCGGCTCCGTGGTGGGGACGGGCGAGGTCTCGGCTCCTTGCCTTCCTGTGCAGGTCCGGCCTGGGCTCTGTGTGTTGTGCACTGAAATGTTTAAGCTCCGGGTCGATCTTGCAGGGCAGCTGCTGTGATCGTCTGCATCTCACAGAAGGGAATGTGAGGGCGCAGGGTTGGGGGGGGGTGTCAGGTTGCCTGGGCCTCGGGCAGAGCTGACCACTGAGCAGCCACCCTAGCGCCTCCACACTCCAGACATGCCTCCCTTGGGAGGGGAGGTTTCGCCTTACGGGCCCTTCTCCTGGGTTCCGGGAACTGGCTCAGAAACCCCACACAGCCTGCTGTCTGGCTGCTGTGACTGTGCTGGTGGTTCGGGTTTGGGTTAGGTGGTTAGCCCCACCTCAGACCCCAGGTTCCTGGTTTCCTTCTCGAGGCTCGGTCCCTTAGGGACCAAGGAGGGTTCAGAGACCCACTCACAGCCCCTCCTGGCCTTAATGCTCCTCAAGTTGACAGCATATTGAGACATTTCTAGGCTGAGAGGAGCTTACACGGCCCCCCTGCCAGCCGTTTGCTTGCCCCAGCCCAGCTGCTGGCTAGGCCTGCCTGCCTCATGGGCATCCTCTGGCTCCTTCATCCCTGACCATCAGAAGGGTGGGGACATGGGTGTGTGCAAACATGTCCTGGCCGGGGTGTGTGATGGGGGTGGCCGGCAGGTGCACTCCCACTGCCTGTCCTGGGACACAGGTGACACACTCACGGGGGTCGTGGGGGAGCCCCCAAGGAGACCAAGACCCCTGACTGGGTCGCCGCAGCCCTGCTGGGGCAGGGGGCAGGGGGCAGGGCCTGTGCTGAGGACTGAGCGCCTGTCCCAGGGCACTTGGCCCTGCCCCCAGGAGGAGGGCCAAGCGTCACGGTCCCGGGATGGCCCTCAGCGCAGTGGTGATAGTCTGTTCCCCTGGCGTCCGCCCTGCCCAGCTCCTGCGCACAGGCTGGGCTGGCTGCAGCTGGAGGATCTTTGCCAGTGGCGCCCAGGGAAGGTCCCAGCCCACTCCCCCAGAGTGAAGACTGCAGTTGGAAGGCTTCCCTTACCAGCACCCCAGTCCTGGGAGCTCAAAGACACCAAAGGGGCAGGAAGCACCAGGGAAGTAACTTCCCCAGACGGGCCCTCCAGACGTCCAGCACAGTGAGTGGAAATAGCTCCAGGTTGGGGCAGAGGGAAGACCCTAAGGCTTCCAGGAGGTGGAGAGTCTGCTGTGGGTCAGGAACAGCAGCTTAGCTGGACGTAAGCCAGGACACGGTGGAGCAGGGTCCTCAGGCCTCTGTGCCTGGTTCCTGCAAATTCCTGTGTCGAAGCCCTCACCCCTGAGCCTCAGAGTGTGATTTGTTTGGAGGCGCGCCTTCCAGAGGTGAAGCGGGATGAGGCTCTAGATAGGCCCTGTTCCACGCCAAGGAGATGCGGACACCCTGGGGAAAGGCAGCGACCTGCCAGCCATGACCGGGGCCTCCGGGGAAGCCTGCCCCTGGCCCTCGGGGTCCGCGCCTTGCTGTGAGGAGCTGTGTCTGTGTTCAGGGCCAGCCTGTGGTGGTGAGTTCTGGTGGCCCCAGCAGTCTCACACCAGCCGTGGCCCCAGCAGTCTCACACTAGCCCCATCAGTGAACCTCGAGAGGAGAGATGTTCTCAGTTGTTCAAGAGCTCCCTAAAAGGCCGCCTCTGTGGGCCTCCTCTCAGGAGGCTACTGTGACATACCACTGAAACGAGGGAATAGGGTAGAAACGAGAAAGCCTGCCACCCGGGAAGCAGGGCCTCCCCACGGCTGTGTGCAGCCCTGGAGCATGGCCCACACAGACAGGACAGCCCCGAGCGCCCGGGAGACAGGTTCCTCAAGCCCTGAAGTCTGAGGGGCCCACCTGCAGCTGATCTGTGCATACGAGAGAAGCCAGGCTCCGGTGTTGACCGCAGGATGGACGGAGGGCCTACAGGAGAGGAACGCTGCTTGGCTCGGCCTCGGTGTGCCATTGCGTGGTCACCACCACGAGAACCCTGCACGGGCCCCCAAGAAACACCAGCTGCCCCGGGTGGTGGTCAGTGCTGGCTGAGTGCCTGGGAGCCCGGGTCCTCTCCAGTGGCACTTTCTCCCCAACTAGCAGCAGAGCTCGGAGGCAGATGCTGTTGTCAGGGCTTCTGGAAAACAAGCAGTCTTTCTGCTGGGAGAAGAGCTTGGTAGACTGACGGCTGCCGAGTCACCATTCTGTAAAGCTTAAAGAAGTGCACTTGCCTGCCAAGGAGCTGAGCCTCTAGGGAAAGTCAAAGCTGTGTGCAAAGACGCTGAGCTGCTCACCAAGGCAGCTTCAGTGCTGCAGAGCTGGAAATAACAGTGCCCCGGGCTGGAATTAGTGTGAGAGGAGAGACTTGTGGCCTGAGATGGGGGAGTGTCTGTGGAGGCACACAGCAGGGACTGGAAGTGTGTTTTGGGGGTGGTTTTTCTTCTGGGGGCATATTTTGTATTTTCTATGTTGAAAGTGGGATACCTTTGCAAAACAATGTATATTCAACCTGAGAAAAAAGGCTGTGGTAGAGTAGTTATTCTGGTTTTGCTTTCAGTTCAGTAGGTGATAATTTACACTTCTATTTCAAAGATATTTCTTGTTAGGAATAAAGTGGGAGATGGTACTCAAGTCAACAGAATAAAGCATTTCTAGTAAACTTCCAAGGAGTTTCTGAAAATGGTGTTTTCCTCTTCACAGGATGAAGCCGGAGGCAGATTCGTTGCTTTCTCTGGAGAAGGACAGTCGTTGCGTAAAAAGGGAAGAAAGCCATAAGCTAGGACTGTTGGTTGATTGGAAAATAAAATAATTGCAACATGCTGGCTTTTAGTTACTGGCTCTGAGGGGATGCTCCGTCACTTTGGGTTTGCTTAGAGTCACCTGGAACAGGGCAGCGGGACAGCGGCTGTGTGCAGGATTTGGGGGAGAGAAGGCCTCTGGGGCTCCTTGGGGGGGCCTCTCCTCATGCCCACACCAACTGCTCAGCTGAAGCCGGGTGCCCTAATTCCTGCTGAAAACAGTGAAGGGGTTGGATTGCTCTCAAGTTGTGCTCTTTTGTTTTTTTCTCCCATTTATCCTTTTCCCAGGTCATACTTAAGTTGTTGCCTTTGGGCTGGGAAAAAGGTGGTTTAAATAAATAGTGATCAACCCATTACGCTGGCTGCAGTTTAGGTATTTGAGGAAGGGTGTTTGTTTTTATTTTACTTGTTGATTTTTTTTTCCTCCTAAAAAACCATGCCTCAGAAGGAAAACCTGATTTAGAAGCATTTCTACTTTTACTTTGATGTAATTTGGAAACAACTGGTTCTTTAGTCTGTTCTGTAAAAACAGCTTCGTGGTGAAGCACAAATGTAACTGTTAGAATAAATGAAAGCTGAAGATATGTTCTTCTCTGTACCCCCCACTCCCAGTTTTAAATGTATTAAATTTTCCAAAGTTCTGCTGACCTTTTTTTTTTTACTAGGATTAATTTAGTTTCATGTCCCCACTTTATATAGTAGCTCTTTTGACATGTTAACTCAATTATTTTAATCTCTTGTTCCTTGAGAATAATTTTCAATTATGAATTTCAAATAAAAACAGGCAGTGACCAAAACCTGAATTGCCTCTAAGCGTCTGATTAGGTACCAGCATGGGCTGACATCTGGGCGGAGGAAGGCCTGCAGGAAAGTGTGTCTGCACTGAGGAGGGAACTCCTCTGGGGGCTTCGCTGACCTTGGGCCCAACAGGGGTCCCCTTGTCCCTGCTCCAGGCAAAGAGGCCCATCTCAGGAGACTGTCCCCCGCGGGAGGGTGGCCCCAGGGTTCACCCATGAGTCCTCAGAGAAGGAGCATTAGAGTGCATCGTGATGACCAGGGTTGGGCCCTGTGACCCAAACCCACACCCAGGCAATGCAAGTGGTTTCTTAAGTCTTGAGCAGGCTGTGACCTGCCTGACCCTCCAGGCGTCTCGGCTGGCTGGCAGATGTAGACGCCCTCTTTGGTGGGCAGCTTGGCCTGTGAACCACCACAGCAGGACGCCTTGGTGAAACTGCATCTCTCGGCCCTGACTCACCCAGCGGGTACCTGGCGGTGGCTAGGCTGGGGGAGTTGGAGAACCACTGCGGCGGGGATCGCAGGGCAGTCCTGAGGCGCCATCAGCCTCCTTGCCGTCGCTGTCACTGCCTCCTGCGCGTCCTTCATGGACATGGACGAGCCTTGTCCCCCCCGCCTCAGCGCAGACTCGCCCCTAACGCCGCCTCCGGACGCCCACCCGCAGGGCCCGCCCCGGCCGCACGGCCTCCGCGCCCCTGGCCAGCCTGCTTGGTTCCCGCGCCCCTCCGCCTCGCTTCCTGCCTGGACGCCCTCGGGAGTCACCCTGCCCTCGAGGGGACACGGGTGGGGCAGCCGCAGCCGCAGGCTTGACCGCGTGGCGCTGATGCTCAAAGTGTGCTGACCCATCTTAGCGACCTGACCCCTGAGGTGAAGAAAAGAAAGCCGCGGGAAGGACTGCCCCGCCCACACCGGCCTCGGTCCCGCCCACCTCGGGTTTCGGGCCACGCCCCCTCCCCCGTCTGTTATTGGCTGCCAACCCAGATATCCCGTTCACTGGCGCGTCTCAAGGGACCGCCTCAGGAGGCGGGTCCAGCGGTTCCGGAACATGGCGGAAGGTGAAGGCTGGCGGGTAAGCCGGGTGGGCGCTGGGGATCCGGGGAGCCGAGTCCGCCGGTCGGAGTCGGCGGGCGGGTACCTGGTCTCCCGCTCACGCCCCCGTGCCCGCCCCCGCAGCCGCCGCGCCCGTGCGAGGCCTACCGCGCCGAGTGGGAGCTCTGCCGCAGCGCGGGGCACTTCCTGCGCCACTACTACGTCCACGGCGAGCGGCCGGCGTGCGGGCAGTGGCGGCGCGACCTGGCCAGCTGCCGCGAGTGGGAGGAGCGCCGCAGCGCCGAAGCCCAGGTGAGGCCAGGTGACCCGACCGGGCCCGCCGAGCCCTGGAAGGCCGGGAACCAGAGGCGCTGGGCGCAGGGGGCGGGCCTTGAACAGGGTCTTCGGGTCCAGCCCTCCGCGTGTGCTTTGATTTGTATCCTTCAAAGATCAGTCTGGCAGTCAGGCTAGGAGAGGACGTGGTGCAGGCGCGGGAGACCAGTCTGGAGGGGCTCTTGGTCCATCCGTTCAGCAGACACTTAACCGCTTGGACGCTTTTGGACGTACAGGAGCGGTTAGAACACAACCTCTGCCTCCTGACTCCTACATCCTAGTCTGGAATACAGTGGTGCCCTGGAGCTGATGAGGGGGAAGGGTGGAGCGGAGCTGTGAGGGTGCAGCGCTCGTGGGGTGTGCCAACAGGACAGGCGAGTGTAGATGCCCAGTCCCTGAGCAGTGGGAGAGAGTTGGTGGTCTATATAGCAAGAAATCAATATCCTTTATACATAGCTTGTAAAGATAGCTCTTACATATCAGCAAGAGAAATGGATTTCACAATGGAGAAGTGAACAAAAGGGAGAGAGAAGGGATTCACCCTGAAAGGACATCAAATGGCCTGATACACATTTAAAATGACAGTAAGTGGTTTCTGCCCAGCGAAACATCCACTGGGGTTTGGAGAGTCTGATCACCTGGGCAATGCTGGTGGAATGTGGGGTGTTTTGATTATCTAAATATCAAATGCATGCCTTTTGATCTCAGAGTTTTACTCCTGGAATTTTATCCTAGGGAGTTAATTGGGTGACAGTTCAAAATTCAAAATGTCCTGAAAGTGATCTGATGTCCAGTAGTAGACATTTGACCAGATAACGAATATCTTCCCCACCGCAGAGTACTACACAGCCATTTAGTAACCTACCCGCTTGTGGGAAGGTGCCTGCGGTATGTCACGTAATGAGGAAAGCAGGAGGTACATCTGCCAGGAGGCAGTTATTCCTTCTTTACGGAAACAGGTGCAGCTCTGAGACGCGGGCCCTGAGTGGAAGCTATGACCTTCACCTCGGGGCTGGAGGTCTGCGGGGCTTTCACGTTTGCTTTGCGTTTCGGATCACTCTTAACACTAACAGGCGGAGGAGGTAAAATTCTACATGTAGAGTGGCCAGCACAGCTCCTGGAAAACCCCAGGCCCCATCGGGGTTGTGACCTGCTGCCCCGAGTTTACTGGCGGGGGTGGCTTCTGCTGTCGGTCAGTCTGTGGTGTCTTCCCTGCCTTTGGCCAGTCTTTCAGGCTCACCTCTCCTCATGGCTAAGTCCCCAGCCTGTCTCAGCTGGTGAAGCTGATTAGGTCAACCGAAAGCCTCAGACCCTGGGGCCCAGGAGAAGTGCGCACCTATACGATAGATGTTCACGATAGCTTGAAGAGGAGTGATCTCAGTGTGTGCTGGGCTGCACATGTGGGTGGGTATGCATGGGGCTGCCCGTGACCACGTCTCCTTTGCAGCGCTCCCTGTGTGAGAGTGAGCGGGCCAGAGTTCGGGCTGCACGGAAGCACGGCCTGGTGTGGGTGCCCAGGCAGAGCCCCCCAGAAGACTGGCACCTCCCTCTGCCCGAGGACAAGGATGGGTGACCGACCCAAACAGTCCAGAGGGCCCCTGGGAGCTTCTGCCTAGCGTGGGACATGGAGCCCTTGCCTCCAGCCTCACCTGCCCCGCGGTCACCACCAGGCTTGGAGCCGGTCCACCCAGCACGTGGCATCCCTGCGGGCAGCCAGGCAGACCTGGGGACAGCGGCCCAGGAGAGGCTGTCCCGAGGGATGGGCTCCTCAGACGAACCCTCGGGGATGAGGCAGCCCCACCTGACCCTGCTTTGGTGACCACCATGGACTTTGGCCACGGTGCCCTCCTGCCACGGCCACTCACTGCTCCTTCCCTTGGAATTTTCCCCAGTTGTTTTTAGAAAACGTGGAGTATATCAAAAGACATTTCACAGGTTTGATTCCAAATAGAAACTGTAAATTGCATCCAGGGTTTATTGAAAGAGTTAGATGCTGGCAGTTAGAATTTTGTATGCTTACATTCTTGTAAATGCTTTAAAAATACATGTGTTTGAACCAAGGGGAACCCTTGTTCTTTGGAGGTCTCTTTCCTCTGCTGAAATGATGTAGTCTCTGGGGCCATGTGGCCGGCCTGCCGCTTGGTGCTATGGACCAGGCCTGCAGCACCTCGGCTTCCCCCTGGGCCCTAGCCGGGGCACAGGTGTGGCTCTGCATCATGGAACCCATTTGCCGGGGCACAGGTGTGGCTCTGCATCATGGAACCCATTTTTGGGGACAGAATAACCCACCCCTTCAGAAGGACGTTCATTATAGGGTCCCCACCATGTGCCCCAGGAGTCCTCTGTGACTGTGTATCTGTGAGCAGTGGGGGTGCGTGCATGGGACCCCCGGAGCAGAGGTGAGTATAAGGAAGGCGCAGGGTGCTCCCTCTGGCGACCAGGGCCTGTCAGCCGTGGCTGCAGCTCTGTCCACGGGCATTTCTGTGCAAGGAGAGGGAGGAATGGTTGGGCCCTCCCGGGTCTGAAACCCCGGTGGGGGGCTGTGTGCTGGGAACGGCGGCCACCCCCTGGTTCCCAGGATTCCTGCGGCGGGGCGCTGGCGCTGTGAGGAGCCCCACACCTGCTCGGATGCTGATCGTGCCTCCAGTGCAGAGGAACGTGCCTGTGTCCATTCGTGTCCACTCCTTGGGACCGCAAGCCTGAAACAGAGACGTGGCCTCCGTCCTGTTGAGTTCAGGGGACGGATATGAACGTTCAGGCGTCAGCTGTGAATAAATTGAAACAGGCAGCATCTTTCCAACCCTCGGGACAGAGCTCACGGTGACGAGCCGTTTGGGTGGTGACTTGGTGCAGCACCCGCCAAAGCCCACAAGGACGTGATTTTAGGGACGCCGGCGGCTCTGGGGCCAGGGTTGGAGCGCCATCCTGGGGAGCCTGTGATAGGAGGACTTGCGGCGGGGCAGTGGGCGGGGAACTGGGACCCACTCGGGCAGCACCTTTGGCCTCTGGTGCAGGTGAGACTGGCCGTGCATGAGACGTGACCCTACGGAGCTGTGCTCGGCACCTCCCTACCGACCTCCAAAGAAGAGATTGAAACAAAACAGCTTGGCCATGACCTACTGACTTAATTGTCCAACCTCACCGAGGAAAGCTACAGGCTTGAAAAGCACCTGTGAGGGGTGCGGCGGTGGGGAAGGCTCTGAGTGTGACCCTGTCTGAGGAGGCTGCAGGCTTGCAAGGCCGAGAAGGAGCCACAGGCTGATGAGGCCGGGGTGGGTAGCCAGGGTCCTCTAGGCCAGTACACAAGCTAAATGCTCACTCAGGTGAAACGTCCCCCAGAGTGCCTGCCCTGAGGTGGGCCTCTGCCTACACGGCCCCTCGGCCCCTCGCTGGGCCGCATCATGCCCCCCACCCAGTTCCTTTGGTGGAGGCCTCCCCCTGCTGCTCTGTGTGTGCTGAGTCACTTCAGTCGTGGCTCACTCTTTGTGACCCCAAGGACTGCAGCCCGCCAGGCTCCTCTGTCTATGGGATTCTCCAGGTAAGAGTGCTGGAGTGGGTTGCCATGCTCTCCTCCAGGGGATCTTCCTGACCCAGGGATCAAAACTGCATCTCCTGTGACTCCTGCATTGCAGGCCAGTTCTTTCCCACTGAGCGACCAGGGAAAGCCCCAATCCCTGCTGCTGAGCATGATTGTATCTGGTCTTTAAAGGGGTGATTAAGGGGAAATGGGATCGCTTGAGTGAGTCACCCAGTCGTACCTGACTCTTTGCGACCCCATAGACCATGCAGCCAATGGAATTCTCCAAGCCAGAATAGAAGTGGGTAGCTGTTCCCTTCTCCAGAGGATCTTCCCAACCCAGGGATCGAACCCAGGTCTCCCACATTGCAGGTGGATTCTTTACCACCTGGGCCAGAGGGGAAGCCCAGGGTTGCGTGGGCAGGCCCTAATGCAATGACCGGCATCCTTATGAGAAATTAGGACACGGAACGACCAAGCAGGGACACAAGAAGACGATGGCCATCTGCATGCCAAGGAGAGCAGCCTCGGAAGGCACCAGCCCTGCCCACACCTGGACCTGGGACGTCCAGCCCCAGAACTGAGAAATAAATGTCCGCCGTTTCAGCCCCTTGGTCTGTGGTATCTGTTCCGGTGCCAACCTTACTCACACACCACCCCCACCACCGCCCCACACTGGGTGGCCTCAGCCAGGTTAGGTGTCAGCCATCCTGGAGGACACACCGCCTCACCAGTGGGTCCCTGTCCTTGACACTCTGCTTGGCACTCCTCTGGCACCCCAGCTTAAAACCAGAGCTGGCCCTGCCTCCCCTTGGGGTGCATGTCCTTCACCTCCACTCCTGTGGTCACTGCCTCTTGCCAGTGGGTTCTGCCCCTTCCTGGTCACTGGAGGGCAGCAGTTAGCCTAGGGGCCTTCCTATCCCCAGGCCAGGCAAGCAAGGGCAGCCCCCTCACCCCTGGCGGGTTAACTAACAGGACAAAGACACGGGGTTCGATGTTTATTCACAGCAGGCCTGACCAGTCAGCAGCAGGCCAGAGCCCTGTGGGGTGGGCTCTGCCGGGCGGTGTGACTGAGGGCGGCCACCCGCAGCCCTACCTCTTGAGCTCCACCTGTGTGTACACCTTGGTGACGTCCTGGTACCTGCCTTCCGGGGGCTGGTAGTTGGCGACGGGCGGCGTGTAGTCTGGCCCGTGCCTCTCGAAAGGAAACAGGCTGGGGTCCCGCTTGATGGCCTCGGCGTGGAGCTCCGGGGCCGTGAGCTCCAGCTCCTGCAGAGCTTCCCGCTGGGCCTCCAGCAGGGACGCGATGGCGGCCCTCTCCAGCTCATGCTCACGCTGCTTGTACAGCGACCACTTCTTGAGCAGCAGGGCTCTCCGCTCGCTCTCCTCAAAGGGGAGCTCCACTGGCGGCCGCTGCCTGGGAACACGCAGAGCGAAGGGCGTGACCTGGAGGCACAGGCCTCGCCAACCGACTGCAGGGACCCGAGTGTCCCCTCGGGGGATGCGCGTGGAACACAGGGACAAACCAAGGGGCGGGACGGTGGATGTGGCAACAAGGGAACCCACACTGGTCGCTTTACGTGGAGACAAGAAACAGCGATGCCCCAGCAGGCCGTGGTGAAAGCCGGCTTTGGAGAAAAGTCAAATGGCAGCGTGAAAACAGACACCAATACCCCAGGGAGTCAACAGCCTGTTATCAGCCCTGCAGACCCCAGACGGCGAGGTCCCCCTGACACAGCGTGGCACTGCTGTATGAACGGGCTCTGACGAGGCAGCGATCCCGGCCACCCCACTCCACAAACACCGGCTTTGGGCCTGTGTGTTCCGGAGCAGGGGGCTGAAGGTTTCCTGCCATTGGGAGGGACGGGGGGCTGTGCTCCACATTCGAACCCGCTCAACCCCTGCCCAGAGTTTCACACCCACACCTGGCAGTTCAGGAGCAGCGCCCGGTGCTTCCTCCAGGAGAAGACTTAGCATGGGGCCAGGCCACCCCCGGTCTATGACCCTGCCCAAGATAGGTGTGAAGCTCCCGTGACAGCACTTCCTGAAGGTAACAGAACTGTTTTGCCCCAATACCTCAAACCCAGAGGCCCTCACCTCGCTTGATTCAAGAACTTGACCGGGGTGATAAAATCCTCAATGGGAATCAGCTCCTGTGTCGCCTTCTCCAGTCGCCGGATCCTCTTTTTTAAGCGCTCCTTTGCCGCCTGGTCTTTCTTGGGGTCCACCTTCTTCTTCTTCCGCAGAGGCTCTGCTCTAAAGCACAAAGCGGACACTAAATGTCTTCCTCCGTGGTCTCGTGAGTGGGCAGGGACATGGCGCTAGGGGACGTGCCCACACACTGGAACTGTGTTCCGGGGCCGTGAGCTCCAGCTCCTGCAGAGCTTCCCGCTGGGCCTCCAGCAGGGACGCGATGGCGGCCCTCTCCAGCTCATGCTCACGCTGCTTGTACAGCGACCACTTCTTGAGCAGCAGGGCTCTCCGCTCACTCTCCTCAAAGGGGAGCTCCACTGGCGGCCGCTGCCTGGGAACACGCAGAGCGAAGGGCGTGACCTGGAGGCACAGGCCTCGCCAACCGACTGCAGGGACCCGAGTGTCCCCTCGGGGGATGCGCGTGGAACACAGGGACAAACCAAGGGGCGGGACGGTGGATGTGGCAACAAGGGAACCCACACCGGTCGCTTTACGTGGAGACAAGAAACAGCGATGCCCCAGCAGGCCGTGGTGAAAGCCGGCTTTGGAGAAAAGTCAAATGGCAGCGTGAAAACAGACACCAATACCCCAGGGAGTCAACAGCCTGTTATCAGCCCTGCAGACCCCAGACGGCGAGGTCCCCCTGACACAGCGTGGCACTGCTGTATGAACGGGCTCTGACGAGGCAGCGATCCCGGCCACCCCACTCCACAAACACCGGCTTTGGGCCTGTGTGTTCCGGAGCAGGGGGCTGAAGGTTTCCTGCCATTGGGAGGGACGGGGGGCTGTGCTCCACATTCGAACCCGCTCAACCCCTGCCCAGAGTTTCACACCCACACCTGGCAGTTCAGGAGCAGCGCCCGGTGCTTCCTCCAGGAGAAGACTTAGCATGGGGCCAGGCCACCCCCGGTCTATGACCCTGCCCAAGATAGGTGTGAAGCTCCCGTGACAGCACTTCCTGAAGGTAACAGAACTGTTTTGCCCCAATACCTCAAACCCAGAGGCCCTCACCTCGCTTGATTCAAGAACTTGACCGGGGTGATAAAATCCTCAATGGGAATCAGCTCCTGTGTCGCCTTCTCCAGTCGCCGGATCCTCTTTTTTAAGCGCTCCTTCGCCGCCTGGTCTTTCTTGGGGTCCACCTTCTTCTTCTTCCGCAGAGGCTCTGCTCTAAAGCACAAAGCGGACACTAAATGTCTTCCTCCGTGGTCTCGTGAGTGGGCAGGGACATGGCGCTAGGGGACGTGCCCACACACTGGAACTGTGCTCTGCACTAGGGAAGAACCGTGTGCGCCGGCCTCCTGGGACAGCCTCCAGTGAGGGTCCTCAGAAGAACTGGGCGGGCATGGTCAACCC